TCAGAGCATGTAAATGTAATGCTCATTATGAAATACTAAGAGGAAAAATATAAGCTGGGTATAAATTCTCTCTCTAGAGTGATTACATTTTTTAATTGCCATAACATATGTGGGAAATATAGTAACGTGTAAACAGTGGTTTTCTCTCGTGGTGAGATTGTACATAAGATTCTCTTTTGCTTGAATTTTTTTTCTTGTATTTTCAAAATCCTCTTCACAGGCATTTATTACTTTTGCAATCAGAAAGAAGAAACTCCACTTTTCAATCTCAGAGCCCTAAAGCCATTCTGGAACCAGCGATTTTGGGGAGCAGTATGCTCTTAAGACCTCTCTTCAAAGACTCTAATCTACTTTTATTTTGACAATTCCTGCTTGAGCACAGACCTATTTTTTAAAATTGAGAGTGTGTGTGTGTGTGTGTGTGTGTGTGTGCAGTTTAGATAGAATACACAGGGAAAACGGAAAGAAAAATGCTAAAATACATGCCTTGAGTTTGTGAAGACTAAGTCAATATATCTCAATTAGAACCAGGAATCTTTCCAATATTTACACTGGATTTGCTTCCAAATGTTTGGCTTTTAATGGGTTGCAAATAAATTGGGAGGGATGGAACACTGGAGCATAATAAACACAGAGGATACTAACATCTGAAGAAAAGAAAAAAAGGGAATTTGTAGGAATAAGCCAATTTTAGTTCAAAAGGAGACATAATGTTGTTTAGAATTTCTCTGATTTTGTGGGGGTCAGAAATAGAAAAGCAGGGGTACATGAAAAGAGACTTGAGACATTGTATTATACCTTGGGCTTCCAGAGAGACAATAATTGGGTACCTCAAGGATGTTTAACAAGCTGCACACAGCTTGAAGACAGAATGAGATCAAACTACATGCAAAGCTAGGAGTTTCCAATGTCAATATGGTAGACTTCTAAGGTCTGAAAATTAACAAGATAAGAAGAGGGGGAGAGGATTGTGTCTTCATTATGTGCATTGCTGAAATTATCAGAATGAAGGACAGAGACCAAATGCAGAACAAAGTACAGGTAGTGTGTGTTTCAGAGGATGACCCTAAGGTGGAAACCATGATCATTCAGACTGAATTTCCAATTTACTATTTTATTCATAAAATTTATTCAAATCAATGATATAAAAACCAAAATTCTCATTTCTCCACTCATAGTTAGCCCTGACTGTTTTTGTTCAGAAAAATGTGAGAAAGTCAGGGAAGCGAGAGTTACTTAGTTAGGAAAGAGAGCACGTAAAAATGTAGGTATAGCAGTTTGTATCCTGTTAATAGATTTGCAATGTAAATTGCAAAAATGAATTTTCAATTATCAAGAGAAGAAAGTACGCAAAGTAATATAAAGTTGGAAATCTAGTTTCTCATCAGGCTTTCATACCAACTCCATATTTACTCACTTGAACTTATTGTAGAAAAGCAAAGAAAAATATGTGTGAATGTGACCTAGAAGTGTCATGAAATATTTGAATCTTTGTTGAATTTAGTCACTGGTTTTCTTCTAGTCATCACAAGAATATTTTGTATAAGAAATAAAGCATTTCATTTTTATTTCAAAGGCCATTTATTTTCCTATTAAAGCAAAGACAGACACTGAGCCCTCAGAAATGTCTGTCATCTGGAAATATTTGATGATTGAGATGTAAATTTGGTACCTGTTCTTATATTCTTCTGTGTTTATATGCTTTTGTTTTTATTCTTGGAGGTAGAAAATAGAATGGCTTTATTCAAGTCAATAACTAGTCTGGTTTTCCACTTTATTTTGTTGGTATCTGACAAATACAATCATTTTCCTAGAAACATTTTAGTGAGTATCCCTATTTTTCAGAATGAAGACACATGTAAAACAGATATTTATTTATACCTATAAATCTCTTGCTGGTTTGGGTATCTTTTGTTTTAAATTATTAATATTACCATTTAAATGATTTTTAAACTTATTTAATTACAATAGTCTCATTTGTCAAATTATTTTATTGTTCTCCTTAGGCATAGTCTCATAATTGTATCACCAAATCCCACTGGTATCTGGTAATAATGAAGAAATGTGATAAAGACAAAGTTTAGTGCTGTCACCTTTTTTTTCTATTGAACTCATCCTAAACACTTTGGGGTTTTACAATTATATAGTCATGGCTGGTTTAGCTGATAAGGAATACGCAAATCTATTCTTTAAAAGTGCAATACTATGCCAAACTAAACCATTCAAATAAAAATCCTTTGCAATCATTATTGTTTCTTTAAGAATTTATGAACCATCCCACCATTAGAAGAACTCTGCTCACATTGTATCTAATTTCATTCATCAAACAAAGCTAACTGGGAACAATGATAAGAAAACATTGCTTCTTCATAGAGTTCTGACCTCTGTAATAAGTACCTGAAAAGATCCATAACACAAATGCAATGCCATTTTTTTTCATTCCTTTTTCCCTAGGTTAATTAGGTTTAAATCATGGGATATGATAGGGGATTATCTTTAAAAGAAAAAGAAAAATTCAGCACAAATCAGATATCAGAAACTTACTTTTATTAAATTTTTAAAAACCACATTGTATTCATCTTTTGAACACTAAGGAAACAGAAAAAGCTCATAGGAACACACTTACTTGGAAGTCAACCATTTGCTTTTTAAAAAAATTTAGCTTGACTCTCTAAAGGAAGACTAAACTAAGACCATTACAATCACAAACCACTCATGTAGTAATTAATAAATGATAATTGGAATGAACCAGAGAGATCTTTCCTCCTGATGCATCAAGTTTTATGTCTTTTAAACTACTGGCTGTTATTTTCAATGAAGAAAAGGGAAGAGAGAGGTCGTGAAAACTTAGACAAATCTCAATCAGAAGGGACTTCAAAGACCTGACAGAGGCCTGTAAAAGATGACTTTTTAGCCTGTCAAAGCTACTTCTCCCAATAGTAAACCTGTCCAATGAATGTCCCCTCCACCAAGAAGCATCCTTTCCCATGAATTTCATTTTTTCTCTCTTTCTCTTGAGAGGGCTGAGTCAGATATACTCTATGTACCTTTTTTTTTTAAAGGGATATTTGAGATTTCACTAGGTGGAAGAACAGTTATTGTGATAAAGGTTTACATCTTAAATGGATATTTCAGCAATGTACTTCTTTAGCACATAAATAAATAAATAAATAATAAAAAGCTGAGTTTTGGGATGAAGGATGAGTTACAAATCATTTCTGTATAGGTAGCAGTATGGAATCTTTCTTTCTAGGAGGTATTCTATGCCTTTAACTATTTTGCAGTAATATCAAACATGAGTTTCTGAGTTAGAAATCAAACCGATTTTCTCACCAAAGCTGATGTTTGAAAAATACATTGAAATAACCTTGATTTTACCCTTCAAAAGGAAATAATGAGACTCACATCTTCTCCCTTCTTCAGGGTTTGACTGTTTGGCAGAGGAAGGGCACCAGTGTTTATCTTCACCTGTTTTTCTGCAGCATACTGCCAATGACATCAGTGTCCTCTCTGCTGTATTAAGGGCAATGAAGGTTATGAAACTAGAAATTAATCTAGTCTGAGAACAGATCACGCAGTCCTTCCATATGCATTGTCTTTGCAATGGTATGAAAATATGAGTCAGTATGACTCATTTGGCTTCCTGACCTAGCCAGTTGTCTGGCTCTCCACATTAATACAGTCACCTGAACCAGCGTCTCTGTTCATTTTGTGTGGCCTCCTGGATATCACCTTTCCTTTGCCAAGCATCAACCTGAAAATTTTCCTCACATATTAAGATGCATTCAATACCTTGATATATAGGATGATACAGACACAATTTTTGGAGTCTCTAATATTATAGCTAAATTTTGTGTTTTTATAGCAAAATGTTAAATTATTTGGAATCCAGAAGATATTTAAGAAACAGAAGATTTTTTTAAATATACATATTTTTGGGGCAACCTAGTCTCACTGTAGCCAAGGGTCCAGGATGGGAGAGCTTTGAAATGAAACCATAACTAAAACCCTATTTCGTACTTTCTTGATTTATCCTCCTCCCGCTCCCTAGGCCCATCCCTACTTTGGATGAGAAATGGCAGACTATGGAACTTCAGAGATCATCTCTTCCAACACCTTGTGTAAAGGAAGTCATTGCTAGCCAGAAGGTGAAATGCATTGTTTCAAGTTGATTCAGGTCTGAACCCTTGTCCGGATTAATGACAGAATTCCAAACAGAGGTCAGTGAACTCTGTGTAACATCAGCCTTGGAGTGGGGGAAGGGTGGGGAAGCGGAACCATTAGCAAATGGAAAAAAAGCTTTCTGAAGCAGAGAGAAAGCATTTCTACAGCCAATTAGAGAAATCACCCTTAAGAGAAAACATATTTCTCTATTAAAGCCTGCCAGCATGCAATATTTCCCAATTAGTTCAAAGAACACAGTCACAGATGTTAGCCAAAATATGCTACATTCTTTAGAAGTCCTCATATCAATGCTTAGGATCTCTTTGATTTTTATGAATGAGTTTCATGGTGTGCGTGTGTGTGTGTGTGTGTGTGTGTGTGTGTGTTCCTTTAAAAAAGAGAAACTTATAACCTCAGAAATTTAAACACAAACACACTCACTGAAAGCACATTGATAACATGGGAAATGTTTAACACTAGAGTATTGACATGGGCAAAGTAATAAATGCAAGTCCAAATTGTCAGTGTTATAGCTTATGACAGCTTTGACCTAAATCCCACTCAAAAAGCTAAATAAAATATTATTTCTTCCATGACTAAGGCTGCCATATTTGTCAAATGCAATTTTAGATAAGAAATATTTTTTTACTATAAGAGTATCATGTGTAATTCCTAATTTACCTGACATTTAAATTTAACTTCAACCTTGTGTTTTATCAGGCAACCTGATTTAGGAGAGAATCAGACTCCATATCTCAGAATTTATAAAAGTATTTATGAAAAGTAAACACATATACATGCAAATCACTCTTCCACTTCTTAACAAACTTTTCTACGTGTGAGAATTGCTAATTCTGGAAGACAGGCCACTGGAGAAGCTATAACCAACTATGATGAAAATTCCATCTAAAAATCCTGGAAGCTTGCACGTAGAGACAATCTGTGAGAGAAAATACATTGGATGAAAACATGCTGGAGCAATGATAGCAAAGTGTTTTCTTGCCCGCCTTTTTGCAAGTTTTTGTCTGCTGCCAAGTGGCCAGGTGGTACAACTTTCTTTTCCTTTGGCCAAAGTCCATTTACAAGACCTACATTGATCTTGAGTTACGTCATTGGGCAGGCAACATCAGAGTGTGCCACAGAGCATGTTGGAAATTAATCCCATTTGCTGAGGATGGGAGAAGATTCATACTCTCATGACTTTTAGGCTCTTGGAATGTTAGAGCTGGAAAAGCTTTCTGACTTATAAGATCATTTAACCCCTTCGCATCACACATGTGGGTGCAGGTAGCCTAAATGATTTTTCCAAGGACTCACAGCAGGAGCCAACGCCAGCTCCAGGGATGATGACTCCTGATTTCAGTCACTGTTCCACACCTTGGCTATAATCAGATGCCAAAATTGGGGTTGACAATATGTGAATGAACTACAAACTTCTTAACTAATATTTCCAGCACTAGGGATCCTGTTGCTCTTTCATTCATTTTACTCTGCATCCATAGGACACATAGCAGTGATCGCTGCTGCTACTGATTGGCTGCAGTAGTGTTGCATAGCAGGCAGATCATGGCTTCTGAACTCAAACAGCGCTACCCAACTTCTGGTCTGAATCCTTCCCAGCAGTGAGGACTTGGGTAGGTTGGGGAACCTCTTGGAGCATCTCTTTCCTCATATGTGGAATATGGGATCATTATGGTACCAATCTCAAAGTATTGTTGCTAGGATGGCATGAAATATGCAAGCAGAGTTCTTAGTACAGGGCTTGGCACAAAGTAAGTTCCTGATGAATGTCAGCCTCTATTCTAAATTATGAATATAGAGATACGGCCTGTTTTTGCTGCACTCATGTTTCAGCCAGGAATGACACACGTGATCATCTCTACTTGAAAATAAATACTTTAAGTATTTACTCTTAGATCGAGGCACATTATTCCATGAAATACACAGATGACTTGGGCCAATTATCCCACAAAGCCGGTAAAACAATCTCATCTTTATCATTCAGAATTTAAGTGAAATTTGTTGAGCAGTAGTGTGGGGAGTAAAGCCACATATTATAAATGTTCTCTGTTTCTCTCTCACCCTCCAAAATATTCAGTTGGATAGGGCTGATTATTTTATTTGGATATTTTAGCAACTGCATCCAATTACATTGCTGACTCACTTAAAGATGATTGAATATAGCAAAAGCAAAATTACAAGGCAGCAGAATATTCCTTTGGCAATGTGTCACTTCTCATACTCCAGTCTTCTCTCACTACTCCACACCCTAAACATTGTTTTCTTTTGTAACTAGGATTCCTAAAAACCTAACTCTGTCACTCCCATATACACTCTGACAGAGCACCAGGGACAAAAATGACCTTTCTCTACACTACGTCCATTAAATTTCCCATTTCCTAAGTTGGCTGATCACTTTAGGAGTTTTGAAGAAAGAAAATGGTGCTGATTCAATCCAAAGTGTACCAGATGGATGATCCAGTTAATTCAGCCAGTGTTTCTACTTTTTTAAAAAAATTTAAAGCCCCTAATGTAGTGGATATTTTTCTGAGTTGCAATATACTTTGAGGTAGGAATGTCTAAATGAGAAAATTTTAAGCCTTGTTACCCAAGAAGGGTAACCCAAATGTCTCCAAGTTCTCTAGGCTTCAGGGATCACTCATCTCATTAATACCAACTGACATGGAATGTGCCCTATCTTGTACAGCCATGGGAAGTCAGCTCTCTCCCCCTTGTATTTCTGTAAATCCTAAGGAATGCTGACATGTTGGACAAATCCATCCTGTAGTGATTTGTCTGCTCTTGTTCTGATCTGCTGCTTTAAACATCTTTGTTGGATACCTCTTTCCACATCATAACTCTGCTCTGGGCTGCTGCCATTCTGCCTTATTATGGCTAAGCACCAAACATTGAACCAGTGTCCACTTTGAAATACCCAAAGTACCACACTCACCAGGTTATGGTATTTAACAACATTTTACTATGGCTTAGGATGATCAGAGGTGAAATGCAATGCAAAAAAAGAAAACAAAACAAAACAAAATTAAAAATTCACTACTCACATAGAATCCAACCTTATATTCGTCCCCCAAAAGATTTCCTACCATCCTTCTTTTAAGCCTCCCCACACTACTCCATCCCCTGCTTTCAGCCTGCACCATGTTCCGGGATTCAGATCATCTGCCAAGTCTATTGGAATTACAGAAACAAACCAGTGAGGTGTCTGCAAATATCTTGCTCCAGGTGGTGCCCCAACCCAATGGAGCGAGATGGACTATGGTGATGAAGGGACATGTGAGTTAGCCAGGAGAGAAACTAACTTATGTCAGCGGAATTCTTCTCCAGGGATATTCTAGGAGGACATGCTTGTCTCAGAGTAGTGCTGAGCTCAAGAAAACAGACATCTTCCAGGATCCATTTCTGAAATACATTTAATTAAAAAGCAAAGTTTCTCATGGTAAACCTTTCTTCAGAAGCGCTGTCTACATCATCTTCTGTTTCCGCTCAGTTTTTCCTTTTTGCACTGTTCTCAGAGACAAGCACACAGCCATTCACTTATTTATTCATTCAGTAATTATTTACTAAGTACTTCTTATATGCTGGGTGCAGTGCTGTTGTTAAGAACGCAGGATTGAAATAACATCTTTGGTTCCTCCCTAAGGATCTCAGTTAGCAGGGGTTAGGTGATACACAACTAGAAGAAACTCTTAAATATACAAATTGCAAACTGTGTTCAGTGGTGTAAAGAAAAAGGACATGACTTTCTGGGAGTAATTGAAAACTGTCTTTAAGGTTGGGGGTAAAAGCATTTTATGGAGAAGTGATGCTTAAACTGAGAAAGGAGGATGAGAAGGAGCTAGCCAACTGAAGAGAATATGTAAGTATGGGCATGAGTGTGGAATGGAAGTGGGGTGGGAGGAGAGAAAAAGAAGATGAAATACCTTCATATCAAAGGAACACTGTGCAAAAGGCCTTAAGGGCATTTTACAGGAGTTCAAAGAAGCAGCAGCAACAACAACCAAAACCAGCCAGCAACAAACTCAGACACCTGGAAGCAGTGATGCAGAGAGCAGAGGGGATGAGATTGGAAGGTTTCCAGGGACCACTTTTTAAAGGCATTCATCGTAAGCCTTAATAATGCATTTTCCTCTTATTCTAAGTGTAAATGCAAGATTAAGGATGAATGGGATGAAATGATCTGTGTTGTATTTTTTAAAAGATTACTCTGTAGAGATAATGAATTGGTGAAAGAAAAAGTGGGGAGACCATTATTCGAATTGTCCAGGTGAAAGATTATCGTGGTGAAAGAAGAGAAAATGAATAAAAGTGAAAAGGCTCGAGATAAATTATGGAAGAACAGCAAGAGTGAAAAACGAGAAATCAATGACTCCCAGAGGGTCACAGAAGAACCTTCTGGCATCTTGGAAATGATCCAAGTGGTGGTTACGCAGCATATTCATAAGTAGAAGTTTGGTTGAACTGTATGCATCAGATGCGTATGCTTTATGCTCTTTTTGCTCTGTAGTCTATAAATTGGAATTAAAATGTTTAAATAAACTTTTTAGCTTGGCAACTGTGTGGATATCAGTGCCATTTTCTTGGTTGGAAAGACTAGAGAAGGAGGCGAGGTCAAGGAATCAAGAGACCCATTTTGGTGTGTGATCCCTGAGGTCCCCGAGTGTCACCCAAGTAGACGTGTCACATGGGCAGCTGTGTTTATGCATCTGGGGCTGAGAGGAGAGACCTAGGGATAAATATCATGGGCCATTCTCATTTTCAGAATTTACTACTCCATTCTGAAAGAAATCAGATAGGAAATAATAAACATACCTTCTAAAAAAACAAATTGCGGGAAGTTAAACAGGCTCATAAAATCTTAAGACGTTTTTTACATATACTGTCTTTCATTTCTATTGAAATTCCAGAAGTCTGATGGTAACCAGAAGTCCTATTGGGCTTTCACTCTATGGAACATTTCCGAAGTTCTGGCAGCAGAGAAAAATATCTATAAAAATAATTTCCTAAAACTCATGATTGATCTAGATATTATTGTTTAAAACCTTTCACAGAATACAACTGCACTACAACTGCTTGTTGGTGATTTTGAAGTGATTAGATAAAAACACAGGCATCTATGCCTTCCAAACTTTTGGAAAAATAACCAGAAAGGAATATTAATCCTAACGGGTATGGTAAGCTACAATGTTGACTTTGTTAATTTAGTATATACTAGTTAGCAATCAGTGACAACATATCTGCACGATATCTCCCAAAGTCACAGTCTTTCCTGGAGTCATAACAAGGGGAATTGCAATTACCCAGATAATTAAAACAAAATTACCATTTTTATTGTTATAAATAAATAAGATAACCATTTCTCTGAAATTGACTAAATCATTTAGTGTCTTCATTATACATTCCTCTGCCTCTTTGATCCTTTTTCTTTCAAGAGGAATGAACCTCAGATGATACAATAAAAACAAAAATAAAAGTAGATATGTACACTCGTGTTCTACCCATTCTCATACACACACACACACACACACACACACACACACACACAACCTTTGCTACTGAAATGCAAATGCCACTATTATGGGGTGATGCTTACTATAAAGAATAGTTAAGAAATATAAACCCTTCTAGGAATCTGCTTCATGAAGAAATATGTTTAGAAACAGATTTGCCACCCACTGAATAGAGTACACGTCCAATCTGAAGATTCATTATAATTATTTCAAAATGGGTTGACAGCAAACTGCATTGAAAATCAAACACAACATCTAAGCTGCCTCAAGTTAATCATGGCGGGAGTCACACGGTGATTTCTGCGGGGCTGGGAGGATAATTTTCTGGACCATCACCATCCAGTTTGCACCAAGTCAATGGAGATACAAAAACATTTTTGAGACTCCTACATACCAATAAATTATACAAATTGTCTGTCAAAAGCAAATTTGATTTAGTAGGCACTAGTGCTGAGCAAGGCACCCAGGGGAGAAAACCAGAAACCGCTGATAGAAAATACAGAAAGCCTGGAGGGCACAAATGCAATGG